ATTTGGGTTGGGATGAGAAGGCAGCCAGTGTGAGTATGACCAAGTGATAGTAACATGTCACGAATTCAAATGGTAGTCGGATAAAACATATAATGATTGGAGTGAAATAAAAATCTGATCAGCAGTCAGGCCCCATAGCTCAGTTGGTAGGTCAACAAGCTGAAAACCCCGCGGTCGCTGGTCCGAATCCTGCTGTGGTTATTATTTTCATTTCACCCAGTGATCAATACAAGTCTATCAAACCACAGCTATCTGAGATAATCAAAATGATAGTTTTTGATATATCAAATAAAGCAAACTCTACTACTTAAAATAAGGCTGAAATAAAAGTGAAAAAATAATCTAGTTTACTATGCAAGTATTCACATTTCTTTCAACTTTTATCATTGTTAGTTTTTTAACAGAAAAGAGAAAGGGTGTGGCATCATTTTCATCAGTATAATTTACATTGTTTTTTATTTCAATAACTTTCTGTGATTTCATAGTATTTGTACTTTATGTAATTAACTATATGAATATACACAGATAAGATGAACATTTATTCCCTTTTTGCCGTTCACTGGTGCCTCAGTATTAGTAGAAGTTATCATACAAGCAAGCAAAAATAAGGTTTTCTGAGAAATGGGTAATAAAGCGAAAAGTCTTAAAAATAAGAATGTTATTACTATTCATTGACATACTTGTTATTCTCCGTTGTTTTATTGGATCGAATTGTTCGACCTCTATTGGCATATGAGATCCTATGCGGATGCCTTGATATTGCCTGAATGTTAATTATGGTAATTTGTTTGGTTGTGGCTAGCAGAGGAATCCAGGACGCGCGTTTTGTGATATTTGAGACTCGTCAGCTGGATATGCCTTCACCCCGGTGAATGATGTTGTTCCCAGTGAGACTCGAGCCTTCCTATCCATCGCTTCAAACGCTAAGGCGTTATCAACTATGACACTAAGGTATGACAACCACTTCTGGTACAACGGAGGTTAGTTATTACTAACAACGGAGAATATCAAGTATGTCAATAATTATTAATGACTAATACCCGTTGTCCAAGAAGTGGCTATCGTGTCTCAGTGGCACAGTGGATAACGCCTTAGCGTTTGAAGCGATGGATAGGAAGGCTCGAGTCTCACTGGGAACAACATCATTCACCGGGGTGAAGGCATATCCAGCTGACGAGTCTCAAATATCACAAAACGCGCGTCCTGGATTCCTCTGCTAGCCACAACCAAACAAATTACCATAATTAACATTCAGGCAATATCAAGGCATCCGCATAGGATCTCATATGCCAATAGAGGTCGAACAATTCGATCCAATAAAACAACGGAGAATAACAAGTATGTCAATGAATAGTAATAACATTCTTATTTTTAAGACTTTTCGCTTTATTACCCATTTCTCAGAAAACCTTATTTTTGCTTGCTATCGTGTCTCAGTGGCACAGTGGATAACGCTTTAGTGTTTGAAGCGATGAATAGGAAGGCTCAAGTCTCACTGGGGACAATATCACTTCGCACTGGGGTGCAGGTACATCCAGCTGACAAGTTTCATATAGGACGAGACGCGCCTTCTGGATTCTTCTGCAAGTCACAACCAAGCAAAGGAGAATGTTCAGTACCATCTAAAAAATTAGAAAAGCAGCTCATATTGTTCACGAAGAAGATATTATTAGTTTAAATATAACACCAAAATTATAGCAATGATGGATAGTGGCTAGCATTGGAATCCAGGATGTGCATTTTACCCTATTTGGGACTCGTCAGCTGGAAGTACCTGCCTCCCAGTGAGTGGTACTTTTCCCACCGGGATTCGAACTCGGATTGGGGCATCGTGGCATCCTCACAGGAGCCCATAAGCCAGTAGAGACCAAACGGTTCGGTCCAGTCAACAAGGGCATAATACAAGCAATAATAATAACACCAAAATGATTGAAATTTCCAAATCCTTGGATACATTTTTATTCTATTATAAAACTTTTCAATAGTACAACCAAAATTATCCCCATGCAACTGGTTCCAAAGCCTCACTATTGCCGTGAAACCATGGAAGAAAAAATAATGTTGACGTTATGCATTAGCTGCTAGTTATGAAAGCTGAGGAAGCCATAAATTCTTGCTGGCTGAATTTGCATTAATATTCCATGAGAATTTCAACTCACTACCAAGGTAAACTGTAGTAGTGTTACTCTTTGATGTTATAGTTTGTGCATTTCAGTCGTTAGGAGGTAGGCACATTCAACTGACGAGTCCTAAATAGGACGAAATGCGCATCCTGAATTCCATTGTCAACTACTTTCCATCATTAACATCAAATATGAAGTAGTATTAGTCTAGAAAAAGTTGAACATGACATGATCTTGATATATCTATGGTTATTGTTCTGGGTCATCCAGGGAAGTATAAACTAACTGGATTCTTGAAATGCTGAGAATCAATGGTTGAAGACTGTCAGTGATATGGTTTGAAATGAATAAAAATTGCCGACATATATTTACACTTTTTCATATTGAAAACTTTTAACTTTTCATTTGACTTTATGCGTTTATGTGCTGTCCTCTCATATAATATTTGCTCACTTTTTATATCATTCTTTGTTGTGATTAATTCCTGTCTGTCTGCTGTTTTGAAATGTGGTAACTTGAAGCAATACACTTCTTTACAATCCTTTGGACTATTCAGTCTGGAAGTAATATATACAGTGATTTTAAAGGCCACTGATGAAGTGACCAATCATACACTTGTATTCTATGAAAAATTATCTTATCATCCAAAATACCGCGACCTGATTGGTTATTTTGGTAGTTGTTAGAGTGGCCTTTAAAGTCACTCGATATATTTATATAGAATAAACCTTGAGATCACACTTTTTGAGACAACTGACATCTTAGATTACATTATTTTATGATATAATGCAGCTTAGTGAAGTGTCGAACATTTTTTCTATTGTTTTAAAGGACCTTTTTAGTTTCATAATCAATAGATTGTCATTATAACCTCTTACAACTATCAACAGATTAATCAACAAAGTAGAAATCGGAGTGCTTTAATCGTGTACACAAACTTTACAGAATACTGAAACACACTTTGATTTTGATGCTATAGTTACAAGTTACAACCCGAAAGTATACCCATCACACTAACCAAGTGGAAAACGTTCTGGGATTGACAGTGATGCTTACCGCTTTCTAGTCCTAACTAGAACAACCTCGCTCATTGAGAAATAGCTATACCCAGGCTGATACATTCAAAAAAGGATGAAACGGCTATCCTGCATTCTATTCCTTGTCAAAATCTATCATATCATCACATTTTTAGCCTCTTCATCAATAAGTGTGACATTATATTCCTGTCATCTTATTTCTAGACGTCTTGTCTTATACAAGACAAGAAAAACTTGATTCAAATGTCAATGAATAACACGAAGATTTTAAGAAAGTAAACAATCATTTGAGCCACTAAAAGACAAAGTTTGATAACTTACCTCCAGTGAATGTTGTCATGGTTATAAAATCGTCAAGAAAAACAGATGATAATGTTTGGATATTTCGTTGCATGACTTATTTTGTTCAAAATTTTTGTTAAGTAACCATTAGCAGACAGGTTCCTGACAAAGCTTCAGCTTGGATACAGAAGGCTTGATTGCCATCTGCCAACTTGCGTCCTTCGAAGCGTCAGTAGGAGAGATATCCGACTATCTAACAAAGATAAGTTTACTACGATGCAGTTCCTTCTGTCCTGTAATACGGCTGTGAAACATGGTCATTAAAAGTAGAAGATATGAATTGATTACAGAGTTTTGATCATAGATATCTTCATAGCATCGCTTGGGTTTGGTGGAATCATCATGTGAGCAATATTGAAGTCAGGTGAAGAGTACTAGGCAAAGAAAGCAAGTTGGTGGCCGATTAGTTTATGAGCCTTAGTTGATTTAGATGGCTTGGACATGTATTGTACATGTGAAGCCATCGCCTAAATCGATATGAAATGTTCAGCGATGCTGGATTAAGTTGGATGAGGGTTCACAGTGCCCATATTAAAACCTTCCACCAGCCCATAAAGTCCCTGACTGTTGGTCTAAATCGTGTGGGGAGATGTAGACTGACTGGTTGGGGTTCCCACGATGGAAGGAATCATTCCTTGAGGACTCTTGGTGACATGGCTGGAAATCGGTCACAATGGCACAGATTTATTCACTCCTTGACATCTAAAACTCGAATTTTTTCATTAACCTTTATCTACAGATTATTTAATCTCTCACACAACTTTGTCTAGTTTGATATCAATTTTCTTTTACCCACCTGTTCTCTGTGGGATAACGTGAAGTGTGGTCACTTGAGCCAAAAGACTTGTATGAGAGGTTCTACGTTGGTTTTGTCAGTATCAGTCATCAACAGGCTAGTTTCTAACCCCCTGGTGACCAAAATTTATTTCATAAAATTAGTAGATCTGTTTTGCCGACTGAACAAAAGAAGTGGACTACTGTTTGTGAGCTTGGTAAAATATTTCCAACCAACAAATCAAGCAATGATAGACGGAAACCCAAGCTGACCTACATCAAAATCAAGAAAATCCTTTTCTTTTGGTTTACTGACTAGTCTAAAACCTATTGAAGATACTATATGATAGAAATATACATCAAACTAATTTCATATGCTTATAGGTGATGATAATACTCATCAGTTCTTCACTGAGTGTAAAGTTTTCGTTAAGTGTTTGCATGTTCAAGGAATTCCTAAAATATCCGTTTATCATATCATGAAATATGCAATCAGTCTAGATCACCAAGTGTAATTCAGGCAGTTTCGATGATTCTATTGTCAACTGTATTTCTTCGAGTGTATCATTGAAGAGATGATTAACTTGCTTTCCTTTTTTTTGGTTCGGACAACATGTTTTTGAAATATACAATTAGTGCTTAATTGCTCATACTATTTATAGAATGGTTTTGAAGAAAATCAGTAAAAGATATTATTATTATTATTATCATTAATATTGTGTACCTTGGTTGTAAATGGTGCACCAGTATGATGGTTAATCATTTGATCCTTTTGTAAATCGCGAAAATCTACTTGACTCTTACGCAGTGACCAAATGAATCTGGGGACCTCAGAACGCACCATACGAGACTGACACAATAACAAAAGCATTAAAATATATTGTCATCTTTCTAATTAAAGGTGTACAAAGCATACAAAGTAAGTAAAACTAGTTATTATTTACAGAACTATCTAAGAGAGTCATGGTTTGGTATACTAGTATTGATAATGGGTGATGATTGAAGATGGAGTGAAAATCTGGACCATGGTTGGATTCGAACCGGCGACCACAGGGTTTCCACTAGCCCGATGCTCTACCGACTGAGCTATGAAGTCAGTTTTTAAGTGTTTTTTTATGCTTATTTGTCTTGGTGAACCTCGGCCAGAATTTTGGACCTCGTAGCTCAGTTGGTAGAGAATTAGGCTGAAAATCCGGTGATCGCTGGTTCAAATTGGACCGCAGTCCAAATTTTCATTTCGCCTTCATTCATCACCCAGTATCAAAACTAATTATTTTCGAAAAACTGTTGAATAAGCTTTTATTTATTGCATAATAATGTTCTTGAAGCTTTTTCTACATCATTTGCACAATTTATTATCATTTCATATGCATATAGGACTTAGCATTTAGACACTACAAGTCAAAATGTGCGTTATTCTTATAGATAGCTGTGCTCTGTTGAATGGTCTATTGTCATATAAATCCCTTCTAAACCAATGATAGTTCATCTTCTGTTTAAAATCACTTGATTACCGGCATTCTACTTATGTGTACATGGTACAAAAAGTTATAGCTGACATATATTGTGTTTATATATCTTAACTACTTTGGAGGTAATCGATAGTTTATAAGTAGTATCTAGCTGGTGAGTAGATCATTTATACTTTGCTTCTAACGATGTGTGACAGCACTATTTGCATTTTGATTTGTAAGCTAAATTACCTTGACCAATGTACAACGACCTCGATCTGGAAAGACAAGGAGCAAGTATATAAGACGTTATGCACTTACTACATAATATCAAAACTCTACAATACTATATTTACCTCGTCTTCTGCGTGATGAAGAAAGTATTACAAATGAACTGACTCAACAACTTCCGTTTTTGAAAGCAAACTAATTAATGAGTACACAATATGTTATTATTTATGTATTATAAATCTAATTCCTAGTGCGATTACCTACCTAACTCTACATTTTTTGAGAAAGTTGTAGATTGAGGAAATATTTTTATCTTTTATATGTACAATTTCTACTTATTTCATTTTGATATATATACATATACATTATTTCAGTACAACTGATGCCATATGACGTGCAGAAAATTCTGTAGAGTATTCCCGAAATAGCTTTCAGAATAAAGCCATTATTATTATTACTGTTATTATCATCACTATTACTACCATTATTAGTTTGAAACACTGAGTGAGTATGTATGCTCGCTGATGACAGTGAATCGTGGTTGCTGCATATCATGAACTGGAGAAATGAAGGAGTAATGAACCGTTGAACAACTAACCATTAAGGGATTAAATGATAACGTGCTCATAGTGGGATCTAACGAACTTGGATGCAGTCTTTAAGATAGTTATACTTATATACTACTGAGTAATCCTAAACCAGAATAAATCAGTTACCTAGTGCTCACAAGTTTTCGCTAATTCTCTAAATGATGTCAGTTTGTGATGAAAAAGATTTGGAAAAGTTTGTTGATATACTTGTAATTCTGCATTGTTATACTGCATCGAATTAATTGATCACTATTGACGTGGGTGATGGATACGACGTTCGAGTCTCAGTGGGAACAATATCAATCTACACTGTAGTGCAGGTGAAGTTGAAGAAGAAGCGTGCTTCCCAGATTCCTCGGCTAGCTACAAAAAAGTAAATGCTTTGAAAAATGTTTTCCACTTTATTCTTTTCTAGTGACTAGAAGTATTTTTGAAAACTGTGTATCGGTTTCCAGGAGTACTTGGCATCGTTTGATGATAATACTCACTGATTAACTTAAATTAGTCAACTACAAGCACTGAAGGGATTTTAAACTATAGGATACACAGGTATTGAAGAGATTAAGTGAATAAAGATGAATGCCAACTGACTGAACTGATTTCTAATAGTATTCTATTATGAGATAAGTTAATCTTTGCAGCGTGAACCATTAGGTTCAATTTTGAGTCTAACATTTAGCAAGAATTTAAACACATGAATGCTCACACAGCATATCATGTAGTTCACAGTGTTGCTTTTTAATATTATAACTCTTCCAGTGTTCAAGATATGACTTTTTAAGACATTACATTTCAATGTAATTCACTTCAAAGGAAATAAATCTTGTTAACCTTACTCTGTAAAGTGAATAAAGCTTATTTACTCAGGCGCTTAGAGTTAACATTGGGGAAAAAAGCATATTGGAGACAGCAACTATTACTTTATGTGATCTAACTTTCTTGTTGAAACAGTAAAACCTTACTCCTCTTTCTTATGTTTATTACTTTTGTTAAGAAAAGAAATCATCTACTCAACTGTTATTAGATAATTGGGAAACAAACCAACTGATTTACGTAAATGATAAGTAAAGGAATGACTCTCCAAAAAGATCACTCCAACACGTTGAATTATTATATAAAATAAATTATTATTAACTTACCAGCACTCCATAGTACCCATTATCTTCTTCCCATGGATGAATACGTTGTTTTTCTTAAGAAGTTAATACATTTTGAAAAACAGATAAAGAAATGCATTAAAAATTATGCTATGTCAACTGGAATTGCTTCCATCGAACTCAATTATCCGAATAGCATAGATAAATTGTGGGTTAATTACAAAAAAAAGTAGATATTGAGTAGAATACAGGAAGTTTTTAAGGTAGCTAGTGTCAGTTAGATGACAGATTAGTTGAATGGCTGATGAAATTATAAAAACATTATACTAGCAACAGTCAAGCCATACTTAGTTGATAATCAAAGAAGTCAATGATTTATCTGAAGATTAGTGCGGATTTCATTTCTAAGGTAGTATTCATCATGAACTAACATCAGCTGAAGAAACATTGAAAACCTGGGAGCACTGGATAGCTGTTTCACCCTACTATGAGACTTATTATCAGTATGCACCCACGACTCTGTCAGGGATCGAACTTAGGTCTTCCAAGTTTCATGGCAAACGTGTTAACCATTCATTTACTCAATTGGAGTTTAAAGGTTCACAGTTTCCTGATTCTATCGTTTCGAGATGGATATCCCGAAGTTTTAGTGAGAAGCCGTGATATAGGGGGTCAACCAGCCGGACAAGAAGCGGATGTCAACTTACATTAGGTGATATTCAAGCTATATTGCGAAATGACAGAATTAGGAACCTGTGAACTAAGTGACCAACTGGTGAACACGTTCGCCATGAAACCTGAAGGTTCTGAGTTCCATCCCTTTCGTGGCCGTGCCGTTGGTACGTACTGCTTAAGAGTCCCATACTAGGACGAAACAGCTGTTTAGTGCACCCAGGCTTTCGGCGGTCCTCCAACTGATATCAGTTCGTGATGAATACTACCTTTAAAATCATTGATTATTCATTGTTATAATGTTGATGTCGATTAAGTGAGTAACATACTACCTTGGTGAAATTTTTAAGTAAAATATTAGTATAACTGAAATAAAAGATGGCCAGTACAGAAATCTTAACCATACTGTCTCCAAACCTGGATAATATTAAATTGATTCGTCTAAACTGAAATTGGAAGTTGACTCCTCATTGTTTTGTCAATGTCAGTAGAACTATTTGGTCGGATAAAATTGAATAATTTGAAGTGGCTTTTCAAGTGTGTGAAATACTAAAGATTCCTTCTTCTACCTTAAATAAGCTTTCATAACTATACTTATCTATGAAAAGGAACTATATTTGTAAAATCTCAATGAGGTAAACAACAACTTTTTCTGGCATTTCATGACCTCATTCGGATTTTACAAATATAATTCCTATGCAATCCATTTATCCAATACTCAACTAATTATCATGACGACCTGCTTGAATCTTGGATTACCAAATTTATCCATCGAACATTTTACATCGAATTATTTCCTTTCAATTTGTTTTAATCATTTAAATATATCCCTTGAACGTATCATGTACTCTTGCACATTTTTAAACTGCTTCCAACTCTCCCCTTCTCCAGTCAGAAACAAAACAGAGAAAAAATCTTACATTATACGGGAGTGGACTTTTTGGTACAAAAAAAGTACATCATATTTCTGTCCGTCAGATGCTTAGCTTGAGTTGTAGATTTTTGTACCGTCTACATAAACCATAATCACCACCAACAAAATTACGCTTGCATTTCTGTTGATTCTTCATTATGGACCAGACGCATATCCAGAACTAACTATCTATTTCATATTATTGCATTGAATGCTGTTATTATTAACATCATGCAGATGCAATAACCATTTCGTCTGAAAATATTGTTCTTGGAGTGAATTTGTTGAAAAATTACATACTGAGAATTCCATACTGTCATACACACTGTTTGGAATAAAGCAGTTATTATTATTATTATTATTATTATTATTATTATTGTTATTATTATTACTGAATCCTACTAAATCAAATCTTGATCCTGAAATCCACGAAATCAATACGTTTTTATAGTGTACTATTATACCTTAATTTCACTAATGTAAGGCTTATTTCGCCGTACTATTGCTGCTGGTAGAATCATATAATCCAATAGATGTTTTGTTGTAAGATCTGTCTAAATAGCATTACTGAGAAATTATGGTATCAATAGCATATTCACTGTTTCGTGAAACACCATTTGATATTCTACTCATGATATATAAGTGTGTAATTCATAGTTTAGGCATTTAATATCAATCTTCAAATATTAACGGCGTTTTGCACCGACATATTCAAGTTTCGAGAGACTTTCTTTCACTACATTTTGCGCAACTATAAACTTGAATCAGTCGTTTCTCAGAATTCATTCACAGAATGTAGTTAAAATTTATGTTAACTAAAAGCAGTGGAAAACTATCAGCTTGCACCATAGATACGTAGGATATATATATAAATATACAGGAATCGCAAAAGCATGTGAAATTTGTCAGCCGGTTCACTTCATACTGGTGAAAACCCTAAGTACTGAAATCCCATTAGAAAATTTTACAGTAGCAGATTTCTCTGTAAAATAGAGATAAGAAACACAAGAGCCAAATTTAGTTTTTGTTGCCATTATTATTACTATTATCATTATCGTTACTATTGTCATTTCTCCCATGCGTTTCCAGTGAAACACAGGAATTCAGAGCATGCCTCCATTCCACTCTCTTCCCTACAATCTTTGCAACATCACCCCACATCTGCCCACAAACTTTCATTTCTTCCTCACATCATCTCCTCCATGTCAACCTCGCCTCACACACCCAACTCATCGTTTCCCCTTTCGATTCCACTCAACAGTCTCGCCTCGTGTGCCATGTCCCCACTCAGTCTTCTCAGTCTACACCCAATCCATCTCCACTTTATTCTCCTGCAGATTTGTTGGGCAATAGGTTCGTGGTTGCTTCATTGTCAGCCACCCAGACTCCCTTGTTGCTTATTCTTTCTCGCCATCTTATCTCATCTTTAGTATCGAGTGAGAGTAGGTGGCAGCTGTTGATGATGTGTGTCTGTAGTTTGTCAGAAGTGCTTTTCGTGACACGCCAAGTTTCTCAACCATGTAGCACAACTGACTTGACATTAGTGTTGAAAATCCGGATCTCGTTCACGCTTCATGCTGAGTGCATTGTTGTGCTGTGCAGTGCAGTGGATCACCACACTCATTTCAGATTAATGAAAGCTTGTCTTGCTGTCTTTCCGTTCCTCGTTTCAATATCCTCGTCTGTATCACCACCACCGCCTTCAGTTGAAACAATGCTGCTTGTCCAGGTAGGTGAAAGAGACTACCTTCTTTAGGTTTCTCTCCATCATCGTCATTGGTGCTTGTTGTTCATGCTGTTGTTCATTGGGTATCTTCATCACCACCGTCTTCTCTACATACACTTGAAGCCTTGTCTTATTCCTGTCTTGACTCCAAAGGTGTTGTCATGGTCAAGAATAAAAGAAAGAAAAGACTCCGAATTTAAAGAGAATATAACCGTAATATTTCTGTAAAATAGTGCTCACCTTCAGTAGCCGCAGTTACATCATCATCTGAATCTCCATCTTCAGAATCTCCTAATACTGTATCATTTGATAAAGAATTATAATTTCGGGCTGTTTTGTTATCATTTATAGATCGTATTGATTTACTAGTATCCTGTGAAGTGTTTCCTGAAGATCCAATATAGACATCGAATTTTTCAATCCAACCACGAGCTCTCAACGCTTGTCTTATAGGATTGTAAGGACCAAGAACTGAAAATACTTTTCGACTCTATTTGCATTAACAAAAGATGATTAGAATAATAATAATATAGTAAATTTCTTTCATTTTTACAATCTAGTGATAACAGTAGAGCAAACTTATCCAAAAAATAGTTTGTATTCTCTACTGAGGTAAATAAAACTTGTTAATTCTAAAGGTAAGAAGCTGACATTTAATAACGATCAACAGTTTGAATGAATGCCATTAATTCAATACCTTGTTTAGTAGAACTACATGAGATTACGAAAAAAAGGCCTGAAATATAATTTACAGTTGAGGTTTCAACCAGTGCAATATCATGCCATCTAATTGGTCGATCATACTGGACGCTTAATGACGAAAACACAAGCAGCACTTAGGTCAAATACTCCTTTTGTTACACAAAAGGAGTATAGCAACAATGAAAATACATTGTAAAAGGTGTTCTCTATTAGAATAGTGAATATTTTCGTCACATATTTTGCTTCATCTCACAGAGCACTTATTTAATGAGATACTGATGTAATAGGATCATATGTGATAGACGTTATGAACAATTTTATTTATTCGACAATGAGTATTTCTTTGAGTACTTAGCTCAACAGAAATCACCAAGTGAATGAAGTCATGGCTTAACGGAGTAACTCAGATGATCATCTGACCAATTATCTTTTGAGAAAAACTAAAACGTGTATACCCTAAAGCTTTATATAATGCAAAGTTTATACATGTCCACCGTACTGGTAACTAAAAGTGATTTATCTCCATCATTTTTGTAATGCAAAAATTCCCATTTAGACATTTAGTAAAACAAACAATGTGAGCGAAGAGATATTTCTTTTCAATTAGTTCCTCATCAATGGTTCTACACTAATATAGCATTTTCAAACGTAAAATTATCTACCAATCTAGTGGTGAGAGTTGTTCAATGAAAGGTTATCCATCTCAAAGTATCAAGAAGGTGATAATTGATCAGGTAATTAAGACAGTTAACTAAGGCGAAGATTAATTATCGTAGAAAGATTTTGTGAACAGGTTCTTACATAATTGATATTTTATGTAATGATAACTAAAGAGCAAAAATGAACTGTTACGTAAAATGGTAAATTGTTGACGGTAATTAGAGACAGTAGGGGGAGAGAAAGATGGTTAAGTCTGTAATAATAATAATAATGGAGTTATTGAAATATTAGTTATAGTGAATTGTGTGGTGGATGAAATGAAGAGTCTTGTTGTAATAAATGAGCTATACAGATGGCCAAGGCAAAGAAAGAGGCTGTACGAATCTCTTCTGAACACACAGACTTGGCTTGTGTAGGTGGATTCCTATGGCTTCTGCTGTATGTAAAAGACGGACTCGTAGAGGATGGGTGAGGTGAGAAGGAATGTGATAAATAACTTTAAAGGCATTACGAATGTTAACTCTCACCACTAGATTGGTATGTAATTTTACGTTTGAAAATGCTATATTAGTGTAGAGCCATTGATGAGGAACTAACTGGAAAGAAATATTTCTTCGCTCACATTGTTTGTTTCCATCATTTTTGTTGTCCAGCTGACGACAATTTTATTAGATTACAAACTAGTTTACTATTCATCGTTAGTCAACTACCTGTAAGACAAATTAAAAAGATACCTTAGTGTGGCATCACTTTACTTGTTGGCCACATTGTAAACTTAAACGATAGACCTCACTTATTGTCGAACCCTAAGGAATATACAACTACACCGGTTACTCACTTACTTACTAGCTAGCGTAGAATGGGAATAATTTACAGTATTTAATGAGATAATCAGTAAATGATAAGAAGTTATAATATAGCCACTTACTTTTATAGCTTCATCAGCTTCATCTCTAGCTGCTTTCAAACGTTCTACTGAAAACTGAACATTTTTATCAATTATACTGTTTTTCATCAATGAACTTGTACCACAAAAAGATTCTGTACTATTACGATAACATCCAGATTTACTTCGTCTTAATGTTTTACTTTGACTCATACTTGTAATAGAAAAAGATTTTTTGAATTATTATCTGACTGAATTTCATCTGTGAGTGGATACTTTCTAAGTGTTGTTTTATTCTCATCATCTTCATAGTTATGAGTGATATTTTCAGATATTTTAAATTCTTGTTTATTTGCATGTTCTGTGGTAATTGTTAAAGGTTCAATATCTTGATAACTTGGTACATCTTCCTTAAAAGATTTTAATTTATGACCTTCAGCTTCTACTTTATCATCTATTTTATCATCTAAACTATCATTGTGATGAATATTATCTGCCAATTTTTGAATAACCTGACTATGATTTACATTGAACGATTGAATGTCTAAAATGAAAATACGAAACATTAATTTATCAAGAGTTTGTCAAATGTTACTAGTATTTCATTTAAATCCAGATCAATTTCAAACAATCAACATAAAAACTGAACACTTGGGAATTTTTTAAACTGGTTGTGGCTAACAGAGGAATCAAGGACATGCGTTTCGTTCTACTTGGGACTCGTCAGCTGGATATATATGTACCCTAGTGAGTGGTGTTGTTCCCATCGAGACCCGAACCTCGCACCCATTGATTCAAACGCCAAGTTGTTATCTGCTATGCCAGGGAGGAACGATATCCACTTCTTGTACAACCAATAGTAGTTATTACTCTTTACTGATTTACCTGAAATTCGTCGTTGTTTTACCATAATTAACATTCAGGCAAAAACCAAGCATCCTCATAGGAGCCCATATGCCAATACAGGTTGAACAATTCTATCCAATAAAACAAGGGAGAATTTCAAGTATATCAATAAATAGTGATTTCCTTAAACTATTCAAACATTTCAGTTGAAAATAATATCTAAGGAAGCTATTGAAGATGAAATACATTTCAAACAAATCAAAGTATGACTGTCAATGTGTACAGTACAGTCTATAATTCTCTCAGTGTATAAGGTAAATGAAGATAGATTTTCCATAGAATTCGACTCAATGGTTCTTTATTCATACACTTGTGCTACAAATTAACAAGAATAGAAGAAAGAGTTTGAATTTTATGATTTATAAACCCTCACTCTCCTTGTATTTTAGTAGTTGAAGGCATTCCATTAACTGGCAGTACTTCAGAATCTTAAATTTTACAAGACCGTGAGTGCATACTTTGAAATGATTACATAACTACGTGAAAGTATAATTTTAGGTTCATTTACATTTAACGTATAAGAACAGAGTATTCTCAGAATTGAAACGTTCTACAGTCTTTTCAATTTCTTCTTGGACATTTCTAACAACCATACTCTAGATATTAACAGTGTTACTTTGTTATTTTAGTGAATAACATAGTGATGTTTAGGCAAGTTGAGATTGAACTACAAACTCAACGATAACTAAAAAGTTCAAACAGGCATCTGTTTCTATTTTGCAGAGTTTTTTAGAAAACTTTCAGAATTTATGTGTGCTCATTAGTAAAATATATTCTCCATACATTATCAGACTATTCTCAATTATTTATCATCATTATTCTTCCCTCAGGTTCCAAGTGGAACATAAGAATTCAGTAGCATGCCTCCATTCCACTCTCTTCCCTACAATCTTTGCAACATCACCCCACATCTGCCCACAAACTTTCATTTCTTCCTCACATCATCTCCTCCATGTCAACCTCGCCTCACACACCCAACTCATCGTTTCCCCTTTCGATTCCACTCAACAGTCTCGCCTCGTGTGCCATGTCCCCACTCAGTCTTCTCAGTCTACACCCAATCCATCTCCACTTTATTCTCCTGCAGATTCGTTGGGCAATAGGTTCGTGGTCGGTTCATTGTCAGCCACCCAGACTCCCTTGTTGCTTATTCTTTCTCGCCATCTTATCTCATCTTTAGTATCGAGTGAGAGTAGGTGGCAGCTGTTGATGATGTGTGTCTGTAGTTTGTTGGAAGTGCTTTTCGTGACACGCCAAGTTTCTCAACCGTGTAGCACATCTGACTTGACATTGGTGTTGAAAATCCGGATCTCGTTCACGCTTCATGCTGAGTGCATTGTTGTGCTGTGCAGTGCAGTGGATCACCACACTCATTTCAGATTAATGAAAGCTTGTCTTGCTGTCTTTCCGTTCCTCGTTTCAACATCCTCGTCTGTATCACCACCACCGCCTTCAGTTGAAACAATGCTGCTTGTCCAGGTAGGTGAAAGAGACTACCTTCTTTAGGTTTCTCTCCATCATCGTCATTGGTGCTTGTTGTTCATGTTGTTGTTCCTTGGGTATCTTCATCACCACCGTCTTCTCTACATACACTTGAAGTCTCATCTTCACTGCCTCGCCTCGCCTCACCTCACCTCGCCCTACCTCTTCTGTCAACTTGTTTTCTCTCGTCTGTAGATCTTCTAGTTTGTGCGATAAGACATTGGACATAAATCATCATTGGTGAAATCCGAATATTCTTCCAGACTCTTTCCATCGGTTCAGCCGGTGTATGCTCATCTTTTCACAGCTCCTCACAGTTGTCTGTTGCGTGATTCAGTCTAGTCCACCACAACCAGGAAGATGATAAGTGACAGTAGGTGGCAGCCTTGTCTTACTACTATTTTCACTTCAAAGACGTCACTGAGCTTTCTATTGTCAATCACTTGGCATGTGGCATCTACGTATAGCTGTGGGATGATGTTGATGAAGGTTTGTGGCATTAAATCCATAGTGTTTAAGGAACTGCCTGCCAAATTACTTGTCGGTCGGCGCTTTCGAAAACCTTCACAAAATCGATGAAGTTGAGGTTGAGAGTTGACTGCCGATTCATACTCTGTTCAATGATGATTAGCAGTATAGCAATTTGATCCACCTACTCTAAATATTTTGACTTATTATTGCCTTTCCAAATTATACACTGAAATTTCTCAAAATCCTATGAATATTTTGAAAAATAAGGCTTTGACATTCAAAGTGGTTGATATTGAGTTAACAAGGGTGCAGACAAATCCAGTTGATAAGTTCCAAATAGAAGGAAACCTGTATGCTGGGTCCCACTGCTAGCCACTATGCGCACCAATGAGTAGTCGGGCGGTATTGAGGCATCCGTATACGGGGTGATCTATCAACAGAGATCGAGGAATTCGGTGCAGTATAGCAACCGGTGATTACAATGATAAAACAAAAACTTCAAGAAGTTATTCGTACCGGAACCTTTTTCCAAGTAAGTTATAGAAATGAACTATTCATATACAACCACATCAAGGAATAACTCCAGTTTATTCATTGTCATTTAGTCAGTCTTAAAACAAAGAAAATTAAGTATACAATTTTTTATGTTTTCTTGTGAGTTCTTTTAGTGTTTTTGAATTTATAATCTCCTGTCACGATGCATCTGTAACTTTCTAGTAAAAGAACTTCAAACATCAAGAAAAAAGTGCTAATTATACTAGCAGGAAGAGAAACAGCTAGAGAATACTACATAAAGTGATTTCCTTACTCCTGAAAAACTATTTTTGTATAATAGGTCAGGAGTATTCTCAAAGCTTCTTCATATGAATAAAAAAAGGCTACACTGTTAGAGTATGGTTTTAATAAACTTATTGACGATATATATATATATATATATATATATATATATATATATATATCATATCCACCTACCTAGATGCGTCATGTCAGAGGAATCTGAATTAGGTTGGAAGAGAGTTCAGTGTGACCAGATTAAGACCTGGCATGAGTCGACAAAGTCCTTGACTGTCGGTTTGAGTCATGCGGGGAGATGTATACTGCCTGGTTAGGGTTCCCGAGACAATAGGAATCAGTGGTTGAGGACACTTGGTGACTTGACTGAAAATTGGTCACAATGGTGCAGATATATCCACTCTTTGATATCTTCTAAGGCTTGAATATTCGCACTAACCAGTGTCTTCAAACTGTTTATTCTCTCACACTATCTTATCTTCTTTGATATCACTCCTTTTTTATCCACCTGTTCTTCGTATACTACTGGGAAGTGTGACGACTTGAGCTGATGCACCTGTGTGTGAGGTTCTACTTTGATTTTGTCAGTCAGTCAGTATTCGCGTGACTCCTTACGATTACATTATAACCCAGCCCGTAAGTCGACTAGGAACTGTTCTATTCATTATGATGTAACTTACCTTTAACCAACTCAATCTTTACTACTCATCTGAACATTCTCTAAGCTCTTCCCACTTGACTTATTATAAATTATTTATTAATGTGTTACAACAACTTGAGCGTTATCTGAATTTTATGTTGTGTATTTATTCCCCTTTGAATAGCATCATAGTATAAATAAACAAGTTTAGATAGCTGACAAAATCAATTAGCATTCATCAATGTATCAAAATCTGCTTTCTTCATTCTAAACGCCTTTTCAGTTTGTAATTCACTTTGACTGAAACTATATAAGATACTTTGTCAGATTTCATAATGGACAAAGTTTCAACAAAAGCTGATTTAGCAAAGTTGCTTGTATTATACCGTCGTTGATTGGACCGAATTGATCGGTCTTTATTGGCATATAGGCTCCTGTGTAATGCCTCGATATTACCTGTGTTTTTTAACTATAGTCAAGATGGATAGTAGCTAGTAATCGAATCCAGGATACGCATTTCGTCCTATTTGGGACTCGCCAGCTGAACGTGCCTATCTCCCAGTGAGTGATTTTCTTCCCACCAGGATTCGGACTGGCACAACAAGTAGCTATCGTGACTCGGTGGTGCAGTGGATAACGCTCTGGCGTTCGAAGCGATCGGTCCACATTCCGAACTCCGGTGGAGACAACATAGCTGACTGCGAGGCAGGTATATCCAGCTGATGAGTCCCAAATAGGACGAAATGTGCATACTGGATTCAACTGCTAGCCACTATTCATCTTTACTAAAAAATGATTGAAATGGTATACTTTAAAAATAATAACAATTAACTTGTTTCATATTTAAGATAAGGAAGTAAATGGACTAGGTGTACACACTACATACCTGAAATACAGTTTACTTCATCTGAAGTCGTCGGCTGTAATGTATAGTGGTTAGGATTCTCAAAGTTATTTTTAGTTGTATTATAAGCTCCTGAAATATTATCAGTATTTGATTGAACATCTGTGACTAGTGGAGTAAGTTTTTTCGAAATAAAATTCTCATATCCTCATTAATAATGGTAGTATAATTAGAAGATACTAAACGGAAACCAAATTAACCTAAAGTGAAAATTGAAATTGAGTTGAGAAGAGTCACTTGAATGGACAATAACTTAATAACACTAGTTAGAAGTAATATTTTGTGTTTGAAATAAAATAGTCTTAAAGTTTCATTCGATTGTCTTGTCTAAACTTCATCTGAGACTAAGTCGGAATTCAAATATCAAAGACAAATAAATAAGGTCCAGGGAGTGTAATAATTCAGTTTTTCCACAAACTGAACAACCGCCATTACTTCAATATCCATGTAATCCATATCTTTTGGCAATTAGTTGAACTATGCCAAACAATTTTTCAGTTAATGACTGTAATTCTACAAAATAATGTTTACAAACTGAACCTATAAACTTATAAATAAGACTGAAGCAAACACGATAGTTGTGCAACTATTAAAACCTGGAAGCATCGGACAGCTGTTACATCTTAGTATAGGATCCCTGAGCAGTGCACACCCATAATCCCTACAAGGATGGAACTCATGGCCAACAGGTTTCGCGGCGAGCATGTTACTCATGAGCTGCTTGACGGGAATCCAACGTTTCACAGTTTTCTACTTCTGTCAGTTCTCGATATAGCCTGACCTTCGGCCACTACCATCACTGAGAATGAATCATCACGTTCGACTTTGTTTGCCCGCCAGTAGCGACTTCGCACTAGAACGTTGGGAAATGTCATCTCTTGAAGTCAATAAACCTCCACAAACCTCCAAACTGGAATTAAAACGCTTGTAGGTATAACAGTTACCCTGAGAAAACCAACAGTAGTTTCAACCTTCTTTCATACTCCATAGGTTTGGAATGCCGTAATTCACAACACTACAGATGGCGAAAATCGGCAGAAGTAAAAATAGTGGAGGGGAAGAAAATAAGAAAAGTACAAGTGGATGAGAAATAAAAAGGCACTCAATAATAACCTGTTCAAGATTTTCAACATGATATTCAAATGGCTGCACCTCTTCATCAATCATCTCTGATACTGAACATGTCTAAAGCGAAAGTCAGGTGTCTAACACTTGTCTGCATGACCCAGATTAACAGTTATTGAATTAGTAACCAACTGCCAGGTAATCTGTCTGGTCAACACGTTATCTTGGAGGAGACAGTG